CCTTGATTTTCTCCAATGAGTTGGCTTTTTTAGGGGCTTTCAATTTCAGGTTGTAATTTCTACAAGCGCGGCTTCTTGCTGACTTGTGTCCCTCCTCTTGGCAAGAACTACAGACCACTCTACTTGTAGAGGATGGTGCTTCGGAGGTAGCTGCCTGGCGCCTTCTCTTTACACCCTTTTTTGCTTTTATTGTATCAGAAGTATCTTTTCTCTTAGTACCTTTATGTAAATTAGCTTGTGAGACATTAACAATACATCAAGTATTTCTTTTTACCTGTCCTTCTTGAATTTTGGGCAGGTAAGTCATCTGAATTGTCATTGGATTGTGTATTTTCTATCTTTATGCGTCTTTTTAGAGCAATGAATTTCTCCACTTCTGGGTAAATAGGTATACGAGACATTAAAGATTAGAAAAAGCTGAAAAAAAAGATAAAGAAAATGAGATCAAGACAACATTCTATTGATATTTTTTGTTGTAACTTTGTGATCACTTATAAATAACGAATGAATTATTGTAGGCTATGGTGCGTTCCCTTTAAAACCTGAAGTTCAGTTTTCTTTGTCTCAGTTTTTGTTGAGTTATCTTTCCTTAAATGAAAATATAATATCTTATTTAGAAAATAGTGTAATCTAGAATTACACCTTTTTATTCTCCAACTTGTGTTTAAACGTAATCTCTACTAATGTCTGTACGAACTCTTCAAACACTGGATCTTCAGCTCGAATGGTGTCCAGCACTTTTTCTGGATTAGGTGAACTGTCAATCTTTTTAACGAGTTTTCTAATTTGAGAATATTCAAGAAATTCGTGTACTTTATCAGATCAAACACAAGACTTCGCTCGTCAGGTATGTCAAAAGATGACCGAGTTAGCGATGATTTAGGAAAATTCAGAAGCCAACCTAACTCGGTCATCTTTTGACATACCTGACGAGCGAAGTCTTGTGTTTGATATGAGCGGCCTATGATGAGAAGGTCGCCCAAATAAGTAGTTATTTGAATTCCTTTGCGTCGAGTTCAGAGAAGGGTTAGTTTAAGAACCTTGGTGAATATGAGAGGTGAAAGGCTGAGACCAAAGGGAAGAAACCGATACTGATAAGTTTGTTGGCGCCATTGAAATTGAAGAATATAGCAAAAGGCCGAATCGACTAGAACGTATTGGAAAGCGTCCGTCCTGTAAGTCGATTGACGTCAAAAAGTCGCCTGGTTGAAGAAGGTGAGTAATGGTTTGCATAGTTTCCATTTTGAAGTGCTGTATGGGCAGGAACTGATTCAAGGGGCGGAGGCTGAGTATTGACCGTAGGCCACCATCCTTTTTGGGGATGACAAAAAGGTTTGAAAAGAAGCCGAGCTTTGGATGGTGAGGGGAGACGACCTTGATAGTCTGTTTGTTCAGAAATTTGGAGATTTCCTTGTCGAAGGCCTGCTGCGTAGTACAGTTGGCCGTTGAGCGAGGACGGATGGGGGAGAGACAAAGTGGAGGGGGAGACGTCAGGTAAATGCGGTAACCGTGTCGAAGAAGATTGAGAAGCCATGGATTGATAGTGAAAACAAGTAAAGAATACCAGGAATGAGAAAATAAAGATAGCCTTCCACCAACCAGCTGACCTAAAGTCTTTTCTGTTGGTTCTGGCCTGTCCAAAAAACCGGTTTGGAGTTGTTTGTAATGTGAAAACTACTTTGATTGGAATTCTTAGCTCCATCTGAATAAGAATTATTGAGTGGATTACGATATCCTGAATTGGTTTTGTAGGATTGTTAGTCGCATCATTGACAGGAAGAGAACGGTTGAGTCGGGGCCCATTGTTTCTTCGGTGGCGTTTTGACTGAGTAAGGGTCTGGACTGATTGATGAAGCTTGATATGTTCCAACATATCCTGAGTGCCGGGGAGATACTGATCTTAACTGGATGTAGAAGGAGCATCAATATTGTTGGGTAGGTCTCGAAAAATGTTGTCAGTACGCAGAGTTGTGGTATGAGACACCAAGTCAGAGGGCAGTTCGTGGACTGCGTAGTAAGATTACGCGAACGTTGTCGAAGGGTTTGTTGAACCCAATTCTCATGCAACAGCTGATATGTAAATCAATCCAAAAGGCGAGTGATTCCTGAAAGACGATATTGCAAGTTGGACAATTGTACATCAAACTGACAATGAGGACCACTAAGTGGGATTTTGTTGAGCTTTGGTGGATCATAGTGGTGTACTGTGTTAAAACAATCAAAGAGAAAACGACGACGATCCGTTTCTTCAAGAGGTCGCTTGAAGAAGCCCTCTTCAACATAAGGGAATTCAGACAGCATATCGACGGAAGGAATAAAACCAGCGCCAGGAGCGCGCATAACAACGTTGGGGTCATGGCTGACCAAAGGTGACGTTTGGAGTTGTTGCTCCAAATTAGCAAGACGTTGAATAAGGGCATTAGCCCAAGCTGAAGGTGGATCACCAGGCATAAACGTTATAGCTACGGCGGTGTATAGCCAAGAGCGTAGTAAAAAAAAAAAGTCGAAATAAAAGAAGATATGACTACAACAACAAAGATTGTCAAGCCCGAAGTATAATGGTATATAATGCCCCATATTAGAAGCTGGCTTTATTTCTTTATATTTTTAATGATACGTAAATGATGAATATACATATGAAAATTATGAGGTATTTTTTCTGGTGTATCAAGTCAAACTAATAGCATGGTTTGTTACAACCTCTTTCCACGCAAGAATCATTGGGATTTCTTTGATGAATACTTTTAATTTTCTTGGTGTATTCGGGATCTCCATGGTTGCATCGATTTTTCTGTACATCGTACCACCAAACTCAAGGAGACTTTCAAAGTAGATGTAGTGACCTATTACAAAAAAAAAAAAAGGGAATTTAGTATAAGCTGATTGGAGACATATTACACTGTATTACCAAAACATCTCATGCAAAACATCCGAGTGGTTTTAGTATCCTTCATAACTTTGATCATACTGGTATACATCTTTTCAATATCCTTTGAATTTTTTCGAGATGAGGTTTTGTCATTTATCCCTCCTGAAAATTCGATAAGACCTGGGCTAATCGATTTATTTCCAACCTTGAATAGAATTCCATCAAATTTGCTTCGATCAGTAGAATAAAACTCTCTTTCAAGCCATCCTAGCTCAATCACATCAGTATTGGCAATAAACAATTGGTTTACAAGGTAAATTATCAGATAACTAGCTGTTGTTCTCTCGAGCATAATCTTATTCAAGAGGCTATTGGGAGAGCTCATTAGATCCAAGCTACAGATGCGTGGATTAGCGATATGAAATATAAGCAATCTGACAATTAAAGGCTCCTTTTTGTGCTACTTACAAGTACCTTATCGTTATTTCCATAAAACTAGCATCATCGTGGGCGATGAAATCGAAGTCTTTACGAAATCCAACATGATACAGTGTTTCGCGTAATGCACGTATTAATAAAGGCGCTTTATCGAGGGCATTGCTAAGGTCCCTGGCATAAGCAGACAGTGGAACCGGATCAATATTAGTTGCCTCAATTATTGCGTTAAATTGATCAACTGGAGTCCCTAATTTCAATATATCCAGCGCCGTTGTTGATGACAAATCAATGATTTGTAATCTGCCAACTCTACACGATTTACAATATTAGTTTTGTAAATGAACGAATATGTTAACACCAACAAATACTTGCTCGTCAAATGCGAGATTCGCCGTTTGCCGTAATGCAACCTCAGTCCAATTTTCTTCTTCTGACTCCCTTCCTTTCTCGTTGACTTCTCCAGCCTCTCTTGCTGTCTCATTAGAAATTTCATCCAAGCTGTGAACCTAAGTAGTTTATGAAATCAATGAATTGAGTTGCTATGGATTGACACACATTGATATATGAAAGTAATACGCACCTGTTGAGCCATTCTTACTATTTCATTGTTTGTGATTTGGTTGGGACGTTGTATTGTCTGCTCATTTTGGATCCTTAGAGCTCTTTGCAGATTTGATTCAAATCTTTGTCCCCAATATGTAGCGTATTTCTCTCCAAATTTCGACTTCACATCATTTCGTGTCTAAAAGCTTATTAATATTTGCAGTAAGCATCATACCTAGATAATATATACCAACATCAAATAATGATTTGGCAACAGAGGCGATCCTCGTAAGCTTATTGCTCTGATCTTTTGATAATGTTTGTAATAAATCTGCATAATGGTGATTGGTCACGGATTGACTACTTTTAAAGGCGTCTGCGAATTGAAAATAATCTAGGCTCGGCTTGGGAGTATTCAACACTAAATCTAGCCAGCCTTTATACTTGTAATTTTTATGAAGTCCATAGACTCTCGTTTTTTGGATTTTGTTTGAGGCGGCATGTTGGTTGATGACAAAAAAGCAAAGAATTGTAAAGAGAAACACTACGCACACGCGAAAATACACGCGAAAATACACGCGAAAATACACGCGAAAATACACACGAAAATATACAGGAAAATACTCACACATGAAAATACACGTGAAAATAAAATTAGTTTTTTTTTGGTTGCTTACCTTGTAAATACTCTTTTGTCTTTCTTTCTTCAAAGAAAGAAAAAAAAAAAGAAAGAAAACTGACCATAAAATGCGTTATTCTTATAGATACATCATGCTCAATTCTCATTGACTGTCGTAACTCAAAATCAACAAAGAAGTTCTTAGATTGCAAACACAACTATAAGTTCATTAATTGCTTGACATGTCTAACCCAATTCCAGTTGACTTCAGTCGGACTTCCGATGTGGTATAAGCTCTTCGAGCCACGCTTTTTTATTTGAAAATATATAAAATAAACAAAAAAAGTGTAGACTATCTCTTTTAACCCTTTACAAGCCGCGCATTGTGGACAGTATTATGGAAAGCGAGCACAATGTACAACAAAACCAGAGTCTCTCCCCTGAGTAAATCGAGGAACTGTACCAACAATTTGCCGCTCGATTTCGAATCGAAGAAGAACAGCGAAAACACAATCAACCTACCCTCCCAGAGGCCATTCAGACAGACCTGGAAGTCAAATCATCTCTTCGCTTGCTTAATTCTCATGCGAACATAAGCTCAAATCAACCCATCACAAACGTGGAGTGTTCATAGTGTTCACGTGTATAAGAAAAATGTTATATATACGCCACATTAATTGTAAAAGGACAGTTTCAGTAGTGACGCATCCCATCGAAATACATCATCAAATTTATTATTATAGATTTTTTTCTCATTTTAACATCAATAAGCATTCTTTTATTTTCCATTCTTGATCATTATTATTTTAGTAAGTTTACTGGTAATAGACAGAAAATTAAGCTTTCATACTGACACTTTTCAATAGTCTTGACGTTATTGGGAAGCAATGGTTAACGAAGTTGCTATAAAATTATATACTTTCAACAGAGATAATAGTTTGAAGCAACGGCGTGCCCTCTGCCAAGTCCTCCTTTGTTTATGTGGATTAGATTTCGCACTATCCTTTAACATAAACAAAGGGTGATGTCGTTTTTATCCTCTTTTCAACAATTTGGGTACGAATGCAGAGTATCTTCCATCCCCAATAACTTATTCTTAGCCACCTAATAAAAGATAAGTACCAATTATATGACAATGCTTGTTATTAATTCTGACAATATTTCCTTCAGATTCGAATGAAAATGATCTTTCCTTTAGGCTAGCAAGTCTCAAGGCATTAAGATGATACTCCTTTAGATACAACCGTTCTAGAGTTGCTCGGCTCTACCCTTTTCGTTTCGTGGAAATTCCTTTGGCGTTGCATCATAAACAATAAACCTTGGCTCTCTTCTCCTGCTCATTTCAACATTTATTAAAAATGACGATTTACTTGGGTTCTCTTTCCTCAGCAACTAGGTGCTAAATGGCCTTGCCTCAAAGTGCCTGTACTTGACATTTAACTTAATTGATTTGATCAAATGATTCCACCATTTTGGAATAAAAAGTTTTTTTTTTATACATTTTAAACGTGTTCAGAGGGTTTGATCCTATTGCTTCTCTCCAAGCACACATCCTCGATCGATTTCATACACATTAAAAGGATGTATGTAACAAGTATACTGCGTTATGATACAGATAATTTTAAATTGTAAATCGTGTAGTATGAAAGTGATGTACTCTCTATTTTACAACTTGCAAGCTTATAGTGTCGCTTGTACTTGAATAATCAAATGCCAGCATGTAATTAAGATGAAATTGATGTCTGAGCTTTATATTTAGAGCCATATTAGACCTACCTTTATAATTATTTGACCAGAAGCTGCTCAAGTTATTTGCAAAACAGTGAGCAATTTATTTTCAAAAAGTTAGGTAAACTAGCTTCCTTTTCCTGAGCAATTTAGCCTCACACAAAAGTCCAAAATTATTCAAAAAAGTAGGTGGCGTTTTCAAAAATCTAGCAAAACCGCTGGAAATGATACCGTCCCTGAATTGCCTATTCTACGCTGACGATGTAGTCCTCATCGCCGAACGCTCAAATATGGTTGATCTACTGCAGCAATACGAATATCATAGTATGCAAATGAGATGCAAATGGAGCTCATCCAAACGCGTGATTTTGGACAGTAGCACAGATCCAATTACATATACCCTTTATGATCAGCCATTAAAATGGGCATTTGATCGGCTATTGAATTTGCAGAGTGATGACGTTTCAATACAAACTACGAGAATTACGCGTTGCTTGTTTTCACCAGATCGTCTTTCTTTTTTTTTTTTATTATTTTCTTTTCTCTAATCAAATAAACCAAAATATTCAAGCTATAAACTATGGAGGAGATTGGAATTCAGATTAAACAAGAAGTAACATAATCCTGCATTCATCACAAGACATGTATTGACATCATATAAAAAAATAGGTCAAAGAAACAAGCACGACCATTCTTCCAAAAGGAGAACAACTCGAAGACTTATCGGAGAAAGACTTGTATGTTAAGTTAAAGAAGCTTCAGAGAGATATAGAGTTCATTGAACTCCAAGAAGAATACATCAAAGATGAACAAAAGAATTTGAAGAGGGAACTTGTTCGAGCACAGGAAGAAGTCAAGCGTATCAAGTCAGTTCCCCTCGTCTTGGGTCAATTCTTGGAACCCATTGATCAACATACCGGTATTGTGGGTTCAACAACTGGCTCTAATTATGTTGTTCGCATCCTTAGTACAATTGATCGTGAATTACTAAAACCAAGTTCTTCGGTTGCCTTACACCGTCACTCGAATGCACTTGTTGATGTTTTACCACCAGAAGCTGATAGTAGCATTGCACTTTTAGGAGCTGACGAGAAGCCTGATGTAGCTTATTCAGATGTGGGTGGTTTGGATATTCAGAAGCAAGAAATCAGAGAAGCAGTAGAATTACCCTTGACTCACTTTGATCTCTATCGTCAAATTGGTATTGATCCTCCGAGAGGTGTTCTTTTGTATGGTCCACCAGGTACTGGTAAAACCATGCTTGTTAAAGCAGTCGCACACCACACAACAGCCAGCTTCATTCGTGTGGTTGGATCAGAGTTTGTACAGAAATACCTTGGTGAAGGTCCTCGTATGGTTCGTGATGTATTCAGACTGGCTCGTGAAAATTCTCCTTCAATTGTCTTTATTGACGAAATTGATGCAATTGCTACAAAACGTTTTGATGCTCAAACAGGTGCAGATAGAGAAGTGCAGCGTATCTTATTGGAATTACTCAACCAAATGGACGGTTTTGATCAAACATCAAATGTTAAAGTTATCATGGCCACCAACCGTGCAGACACATTAGATCCCGCTTTATTACGTCCTGGACGTCTTGACAGAAAGATTGAATTTCCTACACCAGATCGTCGTCAAAAGCGTCTTATTTTCCAAACAATTACATCAAAGATGAACTTGTCTGAAGAAGTGGACTTGGAAGACTGTAGGTGGTTTATACAAATATGAAATTATGGAGGCTAATTATGTTTAATAGTTGTTTCACGACCTGATAAACTATCTGGAGCAGAAATTGCAGCCATCTGTCAAGAAGCTGGTATGCATGCAGTCAGAAAGAATCGTTATGTTATTTTGAGTAAAGATTTGGAAAAGGGTTACAAGGCTAATGTAAAGAAGGAAGATTCAAACTTTGAATTCTATAAATAAATGTAATGTTTTATCAGAAACTACTACTACAACTACTATTCTTGCATTTCTTGTATTTACGAATAAAAAGTATTGGATTTATATAGAAACTTGCTGGTTTTTGACTGTAAATTGGCGGTTAGTTTTTAAATAGCCAACACTGTATGCACCAGAACATAAACCAATATTACTGGTGCTTCTTTTATACATGCAGTCAAATAGCCCTCAACGTTGAACAGCCCATCCACTTCAATACAAATGATTCGCGTTTCTTTTAATACAGTTATCCATTATATATATATGCATTACGTTATTACAGCTTATTATGTATATTTATTCATCATGATAATTATTAAATGAGAAACCTTACACACACGCGAAAACACGGTTTTTGCTATTTGCAAAATAAAAAAAAAAAAAAAAAACTAACCGCAAATTTACAGTCAAAAAGCCAATATTATCCAAGCTTGCCTTTTTTTGACATTTCTTTACTTCTTTTTCAAATGTCAGAAATCAAAGCACCCTTTGGAATAGTCGATATGGGCTCAAACGGTATCCGTTTCGGTATCGTGAGCGCCTTGGCACGACACTTGCCTGTAGCATATGAAGAAAGAGCACCTATTGCTCTACTTGATGCTCAAGGCGATGAACGAATCATACCCGAAGATGTCATGGATCAGGTTATTACGAGTTTCAAGCGATTTAAATCACTCTGTCAAGATGCAAATGTCAAACTAGAACAAATTCATGTTATTGCCACAGAAGCTACTCGTGTCGCTGTCAACTCAAAAGAATTCTTAAACAGGATATACGAAACAACTGGCTTGACAGTTTCATTACTGACTAAGCAGCAGGAAGCATTGATCTCAGCCTCGGGCATTGTCGGTAAGTGAAAACAAAGTAATATGCAATCTTGTTTTTTTTTTTTTAATATCACTATAGGATCATTTCACCGTGTCAATGGATTGACGATGGACCTTGGAGGCGGTTCGGTTGAAGTGAGCTATGTGATGACAAATACGATGCCTGATGATGCAACAGATGGAATAGTTAGTGACAACATTTGCGTTTCACAGCATCCTGTCTCACTCCCGTACGGTGCCGCGGCATTGAAGCGACGACTTGCAAAATGTGAGTCAAGCAAGGATGTCAATAGACTGTTCAAGGAGGTTGTTTTAGAGCTAAAAAAAGCACATGATTCATCCAAACTACCAAAATCACTGCTCACAAAGGACGGATATGAAGTATACATGAGCGGTGGTGGCTTTCGAGCTCTTGGTTACCTTTCAATGGCTGTCAAAGCTCAGGATACACTCATGCCGCTTAGAAACACGAACCGTCAACTGATGTATCCTATACCCATCATCAATGGATACTCCATGACAGGTCAAGAACTCAAGCGGTTGGCCAAACACTACAGAAAGAAGAACCCACAAGACTTGATGAAGAGACTTAAAGTATTTCGTATTTCAAAGCGACGAGCTGCCATGATACCTGCCTCCTGTTTCTTGGTGAGTGCTATTCTTGAAGTGTTCAAGATCAAACGAGTCTATTTCAGCGAAGGTGGTGTCCGTCAGGGTTTCTGCTACCAATTGCTTCCTCCAGAAGAGAAACAAAAGGACCCGCTTTTGGAAGGGGTCAAGGCTTATGCAGCCAAATCCGAATTTGCACTTTCTCAAACCGAGTTTGACGCCATTCATGCCATCTTAGTAAGTGCGTTGCCCGAGATCTATCTAGATCCACATCATCCTCTGCAGCTTCATCGATTACTTCCTGCAGCTATCCATTTATCCAATCTTACCTCTCATTATCCCAAAGAAACACGTGCCTTTGTCGCATTCCATATGCCGCTTGCTGGAGGACCGTTGGCCAATGTACCCGGACTGTTGCATCACGAACGAGCTACGTTAGCCATCTTATTAGCTTTCCGCCAAGGTGGGGCAGTACCTGATCCTATCTTTTACGCAATTCAAGCCATGGTTGGTCGTAAGGGTGTCTCTGTGTGTAAATATATTGGGCGATTGATGGAACTGGTTTTTGCCGTCTCGCCACTTAATCCTGGTTTAGGATTAATGAAAAGCGGGCTGTCTTTTACAACAGTGGTTACTGATGATATTGGAAGTGGTAGTGAGAGTGACAGTAGTACGAGTGGTGGCGATAGTAGCGATGATGATGATTATGATGATGAAAGAAGGCTACAGAGCCTTTATCCCTCTATGCAGCTGCAGATCAATTTACCTGATCTTGAATCACCTCTTGTGGATGCGCCAGCAGTGTTGTCTGTGATCGAAAGTATAGACAAAAAAGTAAACAACAAAAAATATGATATGGATGAAGAACGTAGACCATTAAAATGCCCAAGTTTATTCTCTGTTGAGGTCGTAAGGAAATAATTAAATAAACGCATCCATTGTCAATAATCTGCCTTGGGTATGACTAAAGACACGTAAAAGTGTAACAGCTTATTAAGTTTTGGTTTCTGTTATGTCTCTGCTCTGTTTAAGTTTTGAAGCTTTACGTATTCCATCAAGAATGGAAATAAATTAGTTTACGTGTTGTGTTTAAAAAGGAAATCTTCACTTTAAAGATTTCCCGTGTACAAGTTTTTCTGAAAAATGAGCAAAGTCTCTTTCAAAGCTCGTGAATTGTCTGTCAACATTTTTTGGCTCCATTTCAATGTGATACAGGCTTTCCTTGCCGCACTTTATTTTCCTTGATATATACGATTTACAAAGGACAAACTATTGGTATTTATACATTTTTACTATTATATGGATGCAACATATTTATATATACATTAATTGCATTAGAAATTATGAGAAAAAGTAAATATTAGTCTTCGTAACCTTCAATGAATTGGTTTATGTCAGAGACACTGTCTTGGCCAAATATATGGCCCTCATCATCTGACAGAGGATACATGCTAGCATAGGTACTTGTGGGAGAAGGAGGAAGATGAAGTGATACACGACGTTCAGTATGGGAAGGTGGTAGAGTGACGTAGGATCCAGCGACGATGTCTCGTTGCAGATTCCTTAAATTAGGAGTAGACTGAGCCTTGACCTTTTGAAGAGCAGTATAGTCATACAGCGGTTTCTGACCCCAACAGCAATAATAATTAAAGTAGGATTGGTAGTCAATAGATTCGTTCACCACTTTGTCGACTATTCTATTATATTCTTGAGAACTCATCTTGTAATTCGTTTGAAAGAAGTAACGATAGCTATAAAGCCCAGCTCGAAGAGAATTGTTCATGAGCGAACAAACGGGACCTGTTTTTCCACACTGAAGACCTCGTACGACCCTGTGCATGTTTGTCATTTGGCCGATTTGCTGGAGACAGTCGTACATACTTTTAGCCCAATCAATATCAACACCGTGCCTTTCCTTCATAAATGCTGGATATTTCTCAAATAGTTTGTACGTCGTGGGCCCCATATTCTTCAAAATGGGATCAATGTCACGGAGCTCAACGTAGCACCCTGGTTTGAGCACCCGTCTGATCTCTTTGATGACGACCTATTGCATGTGTTATGAGAAACTTTGTGATTTCAGTCTGCCGTTTAAGCTTACCGCCCAGTCTAAATGGGAAAAGCAAGTGTAGACTTGACGCATAAAGACAAAGTCAAAGTAGTCATCTGGAAAAGGTAATCCCTTAGGACTCAGTATGTCGAATTGTGTAAAAAATGCATTGGGAGGTTTGATAGTTGTTGGATAATTGGGTGATATGTCAATGCCATAGAAATGAGCATTTGGATATTCTGTTGCCATTTCAAGTACCCAGGTGCCGTTGCCACATGCCAGGTCCAAGACCCTTGGTGTAGGCGTTTCACTCTTCAATCTACTACGGCTTAATCCCGATGAATTCCGTCTAGTCGAGGGAACTGGGCCCGAGAGTAAGTCGTGAACCGGAGCTGAGAAGTTACCATTAAAGATATATTTGTAAATGAAGTGCTTAAATATAGCAAAATGAATAAGAATAAAAATCATGTTAGAAAATACAGAAAAAGAAAAATGAACTGATCATATTAACTTACAACTTGTACTAGTCGATCTTGTTCTTCATCGTCGTTAGGCAAGACATATTTAGTATTATAGCTTTGATATCTTCTACCATCAACAATAATTGTTTCTGTAGTATACATGTCATTAGATGTGTAGGTTGGAGATGGAGGTAGAGTAGGTGTAGGTTCTTCCAAGTGTGGCTTGTATCTTTTCTTGGAGAATGTACCTGCGATGGTTGTCAAAAGGGGTTCACTAGCAACAGTTCTTGCCCTTTCATGGCCTTGCTCTTCTTTACTTTGATCGTCAGTATCCACATCATGTATCGACAATGCCTTTCTTTTTTTATTTGTTTTCTGACATGTTCTCTTGGAGAATGGACTTTTTAAAATATGTGATGGTTGATTTCCCATGGTTTACATACAAAATAAATAATATATATAAAGTATTGAGTTCACTGTTATTTTCATATAAAAGAAAAGAAGAAAAAGAGAAATAGGTCTTACTGCTTCTTTTTGTTTCTCTTTTCTTGCCATTACGGAATTCTCTTTCCTTTTATGGTCTACGATGCCTTAATTCGAATTATATTTATGCAGCAGTCAAAGGCTGAAATTAAATATCAGCTGTCGTCTTGAATTATATATAAAAGACCCTTTCGATTCGTCCTTTCTTTTTTTACTATTTTTATAATCATTACATCTATCATCAGCTATGCCCCCTAACCCTACCCATGTTCCTACGAGAGCCTCTCTACGTAAATTCTCACTTAATCATGTTCCTCTTCCTGTCTATCTTGGTGTAGACATTGAAGTCCGCGATGGAATGAAGAGTTACTATGCTATCTCGGTTCATGATGGTTTCTATACCACCGACTATTATGAAGGTGAACTCGTTGAACATGATATCGAAAACGATTCTGTTGAAAAAATGGTCAAGGATGCCTTGTCAAAGTTAACCTCGATTGTCGCTCTCTACTCTATGGCTCAAAATTACAAGGTCCAATTGATTGCTTGCTCCTATGATATAGCTAGAGACTACCTTAAACAAAAGTCTCTTATCATAACCGAAGAGATGAGCATGATGAATGAGTTTTGGAAGCAACTTGATGCCATTCCTTTCCGTGTTGATACTCATGGTGAATCATGCGATGAACGTGCAAGCGCTGCTGTCAGAAAGGCAGTGATGTGGTAAGCTTGATGGTTATTGGATAAAAAAAGTAAGGCAAATGACCCTTTCGATAGGTTAAGTCCTATCTATCCAGGCAATCTTCCACGAATCTCGGTTGGGTACCGACATGAAGTAAGTTACCCTCATTCATACAGAAATTCATGTGTTGCTTAAACTCTCTTTTTTATTTTAGGTTGAAGGTAGGCGAACACAAGTGTCACCCTAATCTTCTTTTTATTCTAATCCTTTGTCCCCTTTAGTTGACTTTAATAGTCAAATCAAGATGGTCAACCTGTGGGAGTACAAGGACACTGTCTGTGATGAGACTTGGAGAGTTTTTACAGAAATGGTTAATGAATTCAAGGAAAAGAACTTGCGAGTGTCCTTTTTCAATTCGACCCCTCAAGGTGGCGGAGGTAAGTTTCAAAAACGTCAACATTTTATCATTCAAACTCCATTCTTACCAAAATTGGGGATTTTAGTGGCCCTTATGCGTCATGCCCTAGTCCGCTTCTTGCGCTTGGCAGGTGTTGAAGTTCATTGTAAGAGCATACAACAATAATGTTGTACAAATTAACCTATTTTATATGCAGGGTACGTGGCTCGTCCTAAGCCTGAAGTATTTGATATTACCAAGCGAAAGTTCCATAACGTTCTCCAAGGTGTTGCTCCTCCTGACGTCTACTTGACCGAGGCAGATAAGCAAATCTTTATTGACTGGTCAAATGAAAATGCGAGACGATTCTGGTTGGATGATAAGGGACCTATTAAAAATTCTGACGTGATCGTGATTGACGACCCACAAGGTAAACACTTAATAACAAAAACAAGTTATTAAAACGCATGGCGTAGTCTGTGGTATCATTCCTCATATTCGAGAACATGCTCCCAATACAAAGATTATCTTTAGATCCCACATTGAAATTAGAGCTGACTTGATTAAAGAGTATCCTGAGGGCCCTCAGGCCATCACTTGGAAGTAAGTCTGAATGTGCACTCTGACTTTAACCTTAACTTTCTTTTACATTAGCTTCTTGTGGAACTTTATTCAACATGCCGATGTCTTTGTAGCTCATCCTATTAAAAACTTTGTTCCTGAAGATGTTCCCTCTCGAAATGTTGTACTTTTACCTGCTGCCACAGATCCTCTTGATGGTCTGAACAAACAATTGAATGACTGGTGCAAGACCTATTACCAGTCGGTGTTTAACCGTGTGTGTGTTGACTTGGGTGTGAATGAGGTAGACTGGTACCGACCCTACATTGTACAAGTCGCACGGTTCGATCCTTCCAAAGGAATTCCTGACGTTCTAGAAGCGTACAGATTGCTACGTGCCAAGATGGATGGTAACTTTGAAGACGCTCAAACACCCCAGCTCGTTATCTGTGGTCATGGAAGTATTGATGATCCTGATGGCACAGTCATCTTTGAACAGGTGCAAGAAATTCTTAATTCCGAACCATTCACTGGTATTGCTAGCGATATCATCGCCGTCCGTTTACCTGCTTCTGATCAACTTCTTAACATGATCCTCCGTGGTGCCTACGTTGCCTTACAATTGTCACATCGAGAAGGCTTTGAGGTCAAGGTCACTGAGGCTCTCCACAAGGGTGTTCCCGTCATTGCTTATAGAGCTGGTGGTATTCCTCTTCAGATCAGAGAAGACGAGGACGGTTTCCTTGTTCCTATTGGCCATGTAGAAGAAGTAGCCGATAAACTCTTTGAGTTGTTCAACAACCCAGAACTACGCGATACTATGGGTGAAGCAGCCAAGAAATGTGTGACCGAGGAATACTTTACTGTATGGAACTCTATGTCATGGCTTCACATGTTCCTCGAACTAACTCAGAACCAGTCTGAAGACGAACACAACGGAGGCGGCTTATTAGACATGAACACATTGAACCACACGAACTTGGGTCATCAAAGAAAAGTGTCTGAACTTTGGAGAGAAAAGTACAATTATAGTCCAGAGTAACTTAATAGAATATCTTTTATTATTACTATTTTATGCATCCTGTTGTCTCTTTTTGGCTCCTTCCTTTAATTTTTCAAACCTTTCTCTATACTTTTCCAAATGCGCATCTAGTTTTCGGTTCTGTAACCTCAGATTTCGATTCTTTTCTTCTAATTCTTTTATTCTGGTCACTACAAAGAACATAAGTCAGCTACTTTAATCAGAAACTTCCTTTTTTCCGTTTTTACTAATCTCTGCTGTACTATGGCCTCCTGTTGCTGTCCTTCCTGTAGAAATAGCAGATCGTGTCATGAAAGCATGTTCTTGATTCTGTAGGAGTAATTTGGCTTGTTTATGTACATCATTCTTGAATTGAATAATGCTGCTTTTTAATGCCGTATTGTCCATATTTTTCTATAAAACAAAAGAATGCAATGAGAACCAAGTAACCATGTCTTCCAAATTATACCTTTTCCAATATCCGAATTTGATTTTGTAACTGTCCTAGCTTTTGCTGAAGCTCTTCATACTCTCTTTTAGTATCCTCCAGTTCAAGTCTATGTAAGCGGAGAATTATTTCTATACCACTCTATTACAACACAACATACCGCTCATCGTTCGTTTTTTCATTTGTCCTTGGTAAACAGTCATGCAGAGCTGCAGATAACTCCCTTCGTATTCGAGTCATTTCTTCATCTTCTTGTTCTTCTTCGCTATGATTAAATGTAGATGTTGGATAGGTTACCGAATAAGACAGTCGATCCATCAGAGGCTCAACGGCACTCCATAGTCTATTGAATGGACCTGCAGCCTCTAGTTCCTTTTTGTTATATGGACAGTTAATTTCCCCCATTATTTCTGTTTTCTGCAAGTATGTACATCAATATGCGGTCGTTGTCCAGCGTTTTCCCGTATCTCGTTTATCTCTCTTTCAATCTTTTTTACGTCAATAACCGTACTTTCGTTATTCGTTGTCTAAAGAGATACAGTTTGTAAATGTCTATTTAAGTAGTAATGACTTTTGGTTACTTTGAAATGACTACTCGCATTAGCTGTTGAGCTGTTTCTTGTTGATTCTGGTGCCTTTAAGAAATATTGTTATTTTTCTCCGTTTTCTTTACTTTGTTCTTATATATTATGTACATACAAACGAGTTCATCATGATGTAAATATATAGTGTGCGAGTTATATCAGAAAAAAAAGGTTTTGTGAAGTTTTACATAAAACTTTGTTACGCTGCTGACCTTTAGTGCGCCCACATATTTTCGTCACTCAATAATTTCCTATTCTGGATTAGCCAGTCTGCATAGAGTTTCACTGTTACACGGTTTATGTCTCCTTGAGGGGTGTAAACGTACAGAAGCAATTTTAACGGAAGCAGTTATCAAGATAAACCTAGCTTTTGGATTAGTGTCCATAAAAGTTGGGGAAATGAAAGCTGGCTAGTAGACATACAATATAAAACAGAAGCAAATATGACCATTTGAGTAGAGCACGTATTAAGGATAATCAAAGGATGCGCGCTCCCTCAAGGCCAGCAATTGAAAAAGATATAAGCACCTTTTCGAGGAACAGAGAATCGTACATCAAGCTAAAATGAAGCTATCAGCTACTTTTTTCATCGTTCCCTTCATGGTTTGTGTCATCACTGATGAATCTTATGTGTGAGTGCTTCGTCTTCCAAATTCTAATGCTAATAAAATCTTATGTCATGATACTACTATACAATGCCTGGATGAACCAGCTTATGAAGCTTTTGGAACTTGCTACAAACAAAAAGCATCAAACGGCTGTAAAACTCCTTAAATTACAAGACCATACCTATCTGTAACCATTGCCTTACAAGCTACCTTTTATAATTGAAAGTATTTTTCTGCTATTTATAAATAAAAGCATCATCTTGCTTGTTTGATCTTACTACAATTCCATTTAATTGAATGTAAAGGCACGATAAAAAACTATACAAGTTTCAAATATACCTCAAAGTAAGAGGATAGTAATTATTTCAAGCATGCGTTTTGTTGTGTATCTGAAGATGCATTTGAATACCTGCTGTAAATGTTTGTTTAAAAGTGCTAAGTTACTGAAACGAATGAATTACGTGATCATACATCATGTCTTTTTGCTCAAGACTCTATGTACGGCAGTAAAAGATGAAGGAAGGACGACGATGTAGCTGAAATGAGTAAAAAGAGGGAGCAGCACTAATTAAAAGTAATAATGTTCATGCTGTGTATTTTTTAAACATGATGGGTTTTTATTAATCGTCTTCCAACTCCGAGTCTGTGTCGTTTGATTGGAAGATAGACTTTTTGACTTGAACAACTGGATCTTCTTTTCTCTTAATCACGCCAGCATGCTTTAATTTTAATTCCAAAGCAGCGGTTGTAAAGCTGTCGGTATTTCCAAGATCGTCAAAGCCAACGAGTCTAGTATCAATCATGATGAGTAAAGAAAGTAAAAAAAAAAAAGCTGGCTTTTTGAATTGACTTACTTTGTTTGTGCATAACCTTCTTTCCATGCAATAACACAAGGAAGTATCTTCACTAGTAGCTTTTCTACTAAAAAGGGGGCATTGGATACTTCGATCTTTATAAATCTTGTATCATAGTATTTCTTAGCTAATGCCTATCCCAAGACCGGTTAATTGATTCATGTTAAAAGGACAGAATGCTTCCATACTTCGAGGTGGGTATCCATAATTTTACATCTTCTAAAGTCTTGATGAAAGAAATGACCAACTACATATTTTTCTTTGACAGTAATATCCATAAACTCCTTTTCTTTAAAAATTTCGGTATATACGCCATGCTTATTTTCTTCCAAGGTTTGTCGTCTTGCGAGTCTAATATATGGATTAGAACAATGTCTTCTTTCTGTTCAAAAAGAGAGAATCTACTCTGATTGAATCTCTTTTATACGCTGTTCTCGCATGAAAGCAATCTCTGAGTCCTCTTCTTTTTCAAGTTCTTCAAATAATGCTTCATCATCAGACAGTAATTCTATATCTACAGCACTAATAGCTAATTAGCAACAGAACATACTCTCATCCTTTTGGATTGTACCTTGATGACATCTTTTAAAGAGAGGAAAAAAAAAGTAGAAAAAATAGCGCTCTTTGAAAACAATATTTTTATTGATTTGACATGTCCTTTGGGGTACAAGAAAGTAGAAAAGATAGAAAGAAAGAAGGAATAGATGGTGTTGACCTGAGTAAAGATACCATACCTTTATCTTGAAAGGAGAAGCAATCATATTGATAATGTCACTAGTGCATTTGAGATACAATTAAAAACGCACGCAAAGATGGTTATGGTTTATCTTCAGGTAACCAGCAAATGCAGTGGCTTCTGTCTTGGCATGCATGCGCCATAAGCAACCTACAGTTCTAGATTCATTGATTGTGTTTATAAATAACATTCATTTTTCAAGAAAACAAATTTAATATTGACGCTAACAAAGACAGATACGTATTCACTCCAATAAGTATAGAAAAAGAGACAGAATAAAAAGAAGATGAGGCGTTCAGGCACAAATCAACAAAGATGCATAATAAACTGCTTGCTGTTGATCCAACAAACACATAGACAATTTGCTTTCACCATGACGTAGATGTGGCTGATTACAAAAATAAGCATTTAGTGTGTAACAACCCCAAATGGTATTGCCAAGAGAGAAAAAGAGAAATTACTATTTTTATATCTGTGCATAGCGTCACCGACGTCAATGCAAAAGTATATAAACGGTCCTTTTACTCTTTTTTTTTTTTTTTTTGAAAAATCTTAGTCTCTTTTCTTCTTTTTTTATAATGGCATTCTTTGGTCACTTAGCAACGTTTTTTACTTTTGCAGCACTTGTATTAGAAGTGTTTACCATGATTGGTAATACATACAACCGAGCATTTCTACACTCGTTGTATTTTGCAACATTGAATATCAAAGATCAATTTGTTACGTTTGGTTTATGGTAAAATCAGCTTTAAACAAAAGCATATTTCGGTGTACTCATCTATATTCATATATAGGTCCTATTGTTCTGGCACAGGATCAAATGTCAATTTTTGCTCTCATCCAGTTCCTGCTTTTGATTGGAGTAAGTCGTGATTCAAGAAATACTGATTTGTTTGATTTGTTAACACTTTTATATTAGGTCAGGCAAATGGCGTGCAGAGTGTTATTGGTGATATGCACAACATGGATCGAGTATTCCTTGCCAACTTCATTCTCTATTGGATTGCTTTGGGCTTAACTCTTATTGCGCTCATCGTTACCGTTTTGAGTAGCTTTAGACGAGGTCCTGATTTCTGTGCAGCCATTGCGACCTTTTTTGCATTCGTTGTCATGTTGGCCGTCTTTGTCATCGTTCTCGTAATCTCTATTCGAGGCATCAATATCGCCAAGGGAACCAACTCAGACATCCAGGGTAGTTTAGGACCTGCCACATGGATGACTCTGGGTGCATTTGTGGCTCTATTATTTTCTTCTATTTCCTACTGCTTTGCTTGCATCTTTGGCCCCGGCAGAATTCGCTCTCAGGACAAGGTTTAAGCACTCTTTGCGTACTATATTTATACACCTTCCTACCTATTTGTACTATATCGATTATATTTGCTAATATCACTATTATTATAATTATTCCCTTAATAAATTCCTATTTACTTAATAGTCTATAAACAAAACATGAGGCACATGATGACACCACTGCATTATGCACACTGATAAAAAAAAAGTGATAAAGTCAGACAACAAAATGAGACAGTAAATAGTAATAATAAAAGAGAGTCCATCAGGAGCAAAAGAATGAATAAAGAAATGATTAGTAAATCAGTTATTTACATTGGTATTAAATACTTACATTATAAAGAGAGTTTATAAGAGAAAAAAGAGAAGCAGAAAAGTGAATAAAATTATAAAGAGATTATTAGTATCTTACCCGAAGTGCATTAAAAAGGGCTGGCGATAACCAGCCCAGAGAAAGAAGAGAAAGAGCGGATGGGACCAAGGTTTGATAAGAACCAAACTACCTCCAGTTAACACCGGTACTGTTTTCGATTTTATAATCTATAATACTACGCGTCATTTTTTTGCAAGAGTAAAGGGTATAACATACCTTAGGGTTAACTGGGAAATAGCTTGTCTTACCTTTTGGTCCAAAGAAGAAGAAGAAAAGAAAAAGAAGTCAAGGTCAGACTATTTATATGAAGTCTCTAACAATTTTTTCAGTTATGTGTTATTCATAAGTTTTGACCACATTTATTTTATGTATTGCTTTTTCAATAATAAAGAAGACATAGAAAATCAACTAAATTGTATGCGAATAATCTATGAAATTGATGTATGTAATCCTAATTCTCTTGTCTGCAATTGATGGCTCTAAATTCTATTTTATATGCTTGCAAGTATTCGATTTGACTAGATCAATCTATCACTTTCTTTTGTTTTCATGTTGTCGGATGCATATAATAACAGAGATACAGCTCCCTTGTGAGACGGTAAATTCAAGATGTACCTGTGTTTGATGATTTTTACTATTCTTATTTGCCTTTGCTGACATTTACACATTCCTAATCAAGTATATACTTTTTTTTACATTGTTCAATTGTTTATTATAAAGAGAAGGGGGAGTGAGCGATGTGTGTAAATAGTAAAAGGAGATGATTAGTATTAAGTAGTAGTAGTAATAATGATGGTAGTAGTAATATTGGTGGTAGCATTAAACGGTGTAGTGATAATTTCAATTAGTATTTTAATTCAGTGCCAAAGATGTAATCCCAAATCTTGGAAGTAATACCGTAGCCACCTTCATAGTTCTTGTAGTGATGTGCCATGTGGTACTTTTTCATTTCTTTAAAGTGGTATTTGAATACTTTGGCATGATGAAGATAATAGTGAGTACAGTCATACAGGATGTAACCAAAAAAGCCACCGGCTACTACACCGTGCGCCATCATTGGAGGGAATAAGAAATGTCCTAAGCGAACAAGAGGATAAGCGAGAATGACAGCCAAAGCAGGGGGCATAACAAGTCTTAATCTACATAGATAGGTTAATTTATACAGCCAAAATACTCGTCGTAATGCGTTTACCTATCCATTGGTAAATAATGATGAAAGCCGTGAGTAGCAAAATGGATCACAAAGGCCATTTGATGATCTGGAAGCAGTTCATCCAAATGGAACAAGAATCTATGCAACAGATATTCCAACAGTGTCCATATACCAATGCCCAAGCCAAATGACATATAAGTGCCAGTTGAGTTACCATATTTAAATGACAAAGAGAGCTGATAGGCTACATAGGGCAACCAAATAATAGGTATCATATACCATGCAGTCTTTGTCAATGGCTCCAATAATGGATGACCAAAAAAGATGGCTGGCTGAGACAAGTAACGTGGTTTGTGCACTTGTTCCAAATAGAATTCCTTGGTAAATCTTGCTCTAATCAATTGTGGGATAAGTGCCTTTCTCAAGTCCAAGAATTGATTCGTTTTAACATCCGACGCTACATCTGTTTCCTTTGGCTTAAAATCTTCCTTGTCAAATGTCTTGGATTCTTCTTCAACCTCCAATAGTTTCATACGCTTTTCATGAATGGATTCTTCTAATTGACCAATACAGTATTCCTCGAGTATTTCATAAGCTGCATCCGAGTGATCATGTTCAAGTACGTCCTTCATGACATCTGTAACATCTTTGCCTGCATAGTCCAAGATCAGGTCATCTCCCCCGGGATGATCTTGAATGAATTCTGTAACGTCGTAAACCTTGTTCTTATAAATAACCCAACATGACTTGCTTGTTGTATGATTGGAGATTTCCTTTAAGCTGTATTCTTTCATGTTTTAAAAAAGAGAAAAAAAAAAAAAAAAAAAGAAAAAAAAAAAAAAAAAAAGAGACAGACAAGACTGGCTTGTCTTTAATCTATAAATTTATAGTGATACATCCAATCATAAATCACTTCTCACCGGAACCTAATTGGTTCCGATCAAGACTAAATTATCACTAGGCTCAGTCATAAAGCTTTGACATTAGTTGAAGTACTGCTTTAAATTAGAGACAAGAGTAAGACTTCATGTCAATGTTGTGTAAAGCTCATGTTTAGTGATGCGAGGCTGGTCACTAAATATGCTTTTAGGGTCTTGGACTCTTTCACTGTTAACATCAGCCATTGAAACTTTCATCTTTTATGATTTAATTTATTTGCCCTGATCAAATCTACTCGGTGTAACAGTCAAAGCAAGCTTATTTCAATAGGTGTTTTTTATATCCTCGACTCGAGTATAGGCATATTTCAACAACAGAAGCTGAATGGATTATGCGCAACTTTTTACTTATGAGGTAATCTTAGTAAAGCACATATTCTATTTTGCATTCCCTCAATGTGTATCAGATAAGAGTAGCTTTTAGGATATAAGCATAAATAAATTTTGTGTCGGCATTAGGTCGTAGGAACAGCATTCAAACTGACGTGTCTCTATGACTCCGTGACATTGTTGTATCTGTTACCAAAATATCACTATATAATTTATCTTTTACTTGCTGATTAAAATCAATGCAAATGTTCTATACCCTTTCATGTACCAACATGTCAATACTATTAATAATATTCTTTATCACAATTAGAAAGGAGCTCTGATTTATAGATATTACAGTCATATACAATATACATGTATACAATCATTTTTTTATAGAATTATTATGGTATACAAATATGAATGCATAAGAGGCATTCTCTCCTTTAGTATTATTCTACATTGATCTCCTACTCTCTGCTGTAGGTGCCAATTTAGAAGCTGGTGGTGCTGGTTTTTTAGATAAAGAAGTCTGCTGTGGTTGCTGTACTCCTACAACACCGCCGCCCATTGATACACTTTGAGTAGCATGACTTGTTGTCTTGCGTCGCATAATATTGGAAAATGAACTATTGCTAGGTTTTTTCTTTTTGGACACCATCGCCGGACTAGCATCCTTATTAGGATTCTGTTCTCGTAGCCTTTGCGCATGCCCCACAATACAACTGATCAAGTCATTATATGTCTCTGCATCCATCAACAATTGTTCCTTTTGATCTAATAGGTGCTCAAGATATTCAGCTGCCTGTTTTTGAAGTCGAGTTAACTCTGCTACCATGGCATTTAGCTTCACATCAGGAAATACGCGAATGGTTTCTAAAGACAATTCAATGCTTGTTCTTCTAATTCATAAATCACGACTTACCTTCCGTGAGTTCACAGTATGCTCTTGCTATATCTATATCTAATTCTAAGTCTAAATCTTGATCCATCTCTTTCTTGGTTTCTTTTTCACTTTCTTCTATTTTAGTCGTTATAATAGATAAACCAGCTGTTGCTGATGATGATTTTGGATGAGTTTGTGGAGTATTTGATGAGGTAGAAGGAGAGGTTGTACTATCAGATGAAGTGATCTCTGTTGATTTTCCATTGATGTAATTAAATTGCTGCTTTTTCGCAAGATGTGGTGATATGGTACGCACTGCCGGTGATGACTTCTATATATCACCACATGATCAGTATATACATACTTGTGCAAAAAATATATATTCAGTTATTTACCTCATTCGTGCTAAACGTGACACCTAGTGCATTCAGGTAAGCCTTGTTCGTCTCTGACCTTGTCCATTGAAACTGCCCAACAGCACCTGTTACGGAATTATGAAAGATTGTATCTTGAGAGAGTTTATCCCACAATTCACGACTAAACCACTGCAACTTAGTCATCTATCTTTTTTTTTTTCTTTTACAAAAAAAGAAATACCTGCACGTCGTATTTAATATACTCTTGTCATCTATTGTTTCTTCCTCTTGTACAGGCGAAGAGACAATGTCTTGACAGTAAGTTGGATTTATCCATAAACGTTTCAAGTAATCTTCTATAAATGTTTCGATCTTTTCAGGGCTATTTTCCAGGACTTCCGTCTAGACACAAGCTGTTAGAAGCTAAAGGACTATTTCTTTTAAAAAATCGTACATAGATAGTGGCTTCAGTAGGTGTTGTCGGTTGATTATCATCTATTTCCTCAGCTTGTTGTGCACTATTTTCACCTTGTGGTTCTTGAGAAAGGTCTGTTGCTGGTTCAAAGTCGTCGAAATCACCAAATTCATCGTCATTGTCATCAGCATTCACAAAGTCATTGTCAAACTCATTATCGTCATCAAAGTCATTAAAGTCATCTTGTTCTTCTTGATCAACAGTCGTATCTTCATATACTGGATCTGAACTAACAAATTCTTCTTCGCTTTTTTCTATATGAACATCATTTGTTGATGCAGTATCCATATTTTGTTTGTAAAGAAACAAAAAAAATCGGAGCTACAATGCGAGGGTTGACAAGCATTAAAATTTTATGTTGCATTGGATATTTACACTTTATTCGCACACTGATAAAAAAAAATGATAATGTCAGACAACAAAATGAGACAATAAATAATAATAATAAAAGAGAGCCCATCAGGAGCAAAAGAATGAATAAAGGAATGATTAGTAAATCGGTCATTTACATTGATATTAAATACGTACATTATAAAGAAGATGACTTATAAAAGAAAAAGAGAAGTCAAGATCAGACTATTTATATGAAGTCTCTAACAACTTTTTCAGTTACGTGTTATTTTGAAGGAGAGTTTCTTCTCTTCTCTCAAAAAGACAGAATTTATCGCCTTTTTAATAATAAAGAAGATATAGAAAATCAGCTAAAGCGTAAGTATTATTGACCTTGTAATGTGTACATAATTTATGAAAATGATGTATTTTAGATTTTACATGTAACATAAAGATACAAATTTACTAGTTAAATTTGATGGGGCAAAGGCGTGCATTGCTGTATTTGCCATGAATGAACGAATCTAAAGCACTGTAGTTTACCGCTTGTACCATCTTGCTTTTCAAATTCGGACATTGCTCTTGTGTGTAGCAATGACTCCAAAAACACTGACTAACCTGCAAAAATTGACTAATTGTTTTCATATTTATGAATTTAGGCAAATCCTCAACAAAACGAGGAAATTTCATTATCACCAATAGGGAAAACGTATAAATGCTTTCATTGCTAAGGATTGCTACGTAGAACATGATATCAAAGCCAAGTAAATAAAACTTAGTATCTATCAAAAGAATATTCCGTGATTATAGTGTACGTACCATGTATCTGGAAACATAACACAGACTTAATGTCGTTGACATTTATGCTTCGCTGAAAAAGCTGTGCAAGCTTTATTATGTCCTTACACAATGCAGCATTAGTATAACCATTCGAAGCTGCATTCTCCAAAACCAAAGGAGATACCAAAATCGCTACCGATTGCTTGCAAAATAACGGCGTCTGGTCTACTCTGACTTTTTTAGACAAGATCCTTGACAACAAAGGGTGGAAGTAAGAACTCCAAAGTTCTGTTTCGCCTATCCGGTTATTCTTCACAACTTTTTTTTGGTAACTCTTCGATCCTAAAGTGAAACTTATGAACAGGGGACCTGAAAAAAAAAGAAATACTTACAATCGGGCTAAACTCATTAGTAGCCTCTACTCATAATATGAAGCTGTATCTTCCATTTGAGTAAGCATCAGAACTCCTTCCATGGCACTAACATTTTCTCCCTCTATATTATAAACGGTATGTGACAGTTTTACATATACGTCGTCAGTTGGTTTCAAGGTCTTCACCATCATAGAAGATTGTATTACATTATGTAGTTCCTTTTAAAGGGCTTCTGAGAATACGCTTTTCTGTATGTCACTAAAGTTTCCAGGAGCCAAGAATAATATATGGAAATGGCCAATTATTTCAATAATCTTACTTTCCAAGAAAAACCACTCTTGCTGTTATTGATGATGTCTATGATGTGATTTCTATACTTGAAAAAAGATCAGTCACGTCTTTGCCTTTAAAAGTCATCGTCCCTACTACTAAAAATCACAGCTGACTTCCTTGCTCAAAGTATCTGTGATTTTACTCTCAACGCCTGTAAGTGTTTCCGCGTCGGTTGAAGAACGACTTGATATTTTATCTCTTCAAAACGAAATCATTTCTTCCGACTTCTTCCAATCTTTCAAACCATTAATAAGCCTTGTTTTATTAGAACTGTCGATTCATTTATCAATTATTGGTTTGTATCTTCCTGTTGCAGGACCTTTTTCAGTATGATGAAAGAAAAGAAGAAAAACTTTTTGGCGTTGTGATACTATCGATAAATAGTTGTTTTACCTACAAAACATAAGAATACGACAAGATGGAACAAGTCCTTTTATGAAAAGGGAAAAGAAAGAGATTCATGGCAAAAGGGGGAAATTAATCTTTATATGCAAGAATAAATGTTGTCAACCAATTGCATATTAGATATGATGCATCATCATATACTACAGACTGTAGATGCCATGAATCAGCGTTGTGGGCTTAGTAATAATATCTTGGCTTGTATTCGAAATATATTGTTTATTGGCGACAAACGTAATCTTCTTCTATATAAACGTAGAAATACGACAGTCGTGAGTATATCAAAGTTGCTTATGCGTCATTACTGAATTTTGCAAATTTTCTATTGAAAAGGCGATTATTAAAAGCGAATATAGAACGGAAGTGCAATTTAGTTTAGAAATCAAAAGTCAAAAGAAAGAAATAAAGTATATATCCATAATAGAATTCATTCTATGTTGGTTTATAGCAATAAATAAGGAACTCGCTTATTTTAACTGCACGGGCTCCTCAAGGTTACTCAAGGTTTAGGTACTGGCGTTTTTGCATTGCATTTGTTTTGTTTGTAATTACACCATTGCCCTAGTGAAGGAGAAGACGAGGTGGCTATCCGTCACACGACGATGAATTGGCTTAACGTTTCTGACCTAGAAATAAGCATAAAAAATGGGAGATACGCGCTCAAAGATTTAAAGAAACAATACTTCAAAAAAATTTATATCATCTGAAAATAGCACGTGGCGTGAAAGAGCCTTTACCGCCTCATTGAAACCTGGAACGGAGGCAACAATGATTGGAACAAGTATGTCTTCCAATTGAAGTTAAACTTACTTAGGTAAATGTCCTTAAGGGCGTATAAGTTTCTTACTTGTACTTTTTGGCCCACATTGTTGAGCATTCTTCAGACAAGAGATCCAGCGAGCCCAATCCTGCTTGTATTCAGCCAATTTCCGAAACTGTTGGCATTCTTTCTCGCTTTTTGGAAAGAGCAAACATCCTTTTTGTCATGCAAAATTTTCAAAAAGCGATGCTAACTTAATTTAAGGAGCGATTGCAGTTGACATGACGTTTGAATCATATAGTGATCATGATTAATATTAAAGTCTTCTTTTTTCTTTTTAATTATTACTGTTATTTTGGACATTATATCAAAAGGAATATGACAAACGATACACCCTTATTCAAATATCATCATAGAAAATCATTAGAAAGCGTATGTATCTCAAGATACCTTCATAACACCTTTTTCTAAACGAAAATACTATCAGAGTGATGTAAAGTACCTAAGTCACCTGTCAACCGTGCCTTCATCTCCAGTATGGGCAGAGGAAGGTTCAACAGACAGATTACCATCTATCCCGCTTGAGGCTGCAGTAAATGATACACCACCCGAGTTTAAGGCGGCAGTAAGAGGTATTTTTCAAAA